TCTCTCTCTCTCTCTCTCTCTCTGTCACAGCCTCTCTCTGTCACAGTCTCTCTCTGTCACAGTCTCTCTCTCTGTCACAATCTCTCTCTCTCTCTCTCTCTCTCTGTCTCTGTCACAGTCTCTCTCTCTCTCTCTCACAGTCTCTCTCTCTCTCTCTCACAGTCTCTCTCTCTGTCACAGTCTCTGTCTCTTTCTCTCTCTCTCTCTGTCACAGTCTCTCTCTCTGTCACAGTCTCTGTCTCTCTCTCTCTCTGTCACAGTCTCTCTCTCTCTCTCTCTGTCCCTGTCTCTCTCTCTCTCTCTCTCTGTCCCTCCCACTCTATCCCAGATTTGCTCCCTTCATTCCTTGTTCAGCCGCCCATAATTCCCTCCTTTTCTCAGACATGCACGAGCTTGAGTTACTTCTGTTTATTTTTTATATAATTTCTGTTTCAAACACCCGTCTGTTAGAGCTCAAAGGAGCATAATTCCTCGCCATTTGAAGGACCACTTCACCCCCTGCTCCCAATCCTAAACGTGTTTATGAAATTGCTTAACTCCCTCCCTACACTGACAAAGTCTATATCTCCCTTCACAATGACCCAAAGCTTATTCGTCCAGGACAGAATCACACCGCAGCCTCCCTCCCCGTCACATCACTGTCCCAAAGAACGAACAAGTTGGTCATTGAGCCCATGAACCTTCACTCCTGTCTCTCACTCCCCAGTCCACTGGGTTATTCCCAACTCCCTACACCCTACATCCCTCCAATTATTTCAAATACAAACTCAAACCATGAGCAGAGAGCTCCAGTAATTTTTCGGGCCAATGGGAGAGAATTAAAATCTCTGATAATTGCCCAAATCGCAGTAGCCATTGGAGAAAAAAAAAAAGTCCTTTTTATTAAAACTGGGTCTTGCCGGTGTCTTTAGACAGTGGTGAGCACGGTGGTGGGGTCGTGGGGAGAGAATACAGTGTTCTGTCTCCCCCTCCAACACCATTTTGATTTAGCCCCCTCTCTCTGTTCCCTACCTTCCCCTCACTGTTGACGATTTGCATTGACCCAAATGAGCTGTGTATTTAAAATATTTAATTGGGCTGCATGACTGGCAGTGGTTAGTAGTTGAAAAACAATGACACAGTGACTTTGGTGGTGGGAAAGTCGGTGGTTTGTGTGAGATAGCAATCTCGGGTATAAAACTAAAATTAAACAAAATCTCATCATAATCCAACACCTTTATTGAGCCTCCCAGTGCCCACAACCCCTCTCACAACCTGGGAATATGGGAACAAACAAACGCCGAGTGAGAGCCACATCATTTGTGTATTTTTGTTGCATTGGCGAAGACTGTCACCCTGTAGCTGCCACATCATCAACGATTAACCTTGATAAAAAGTGAAGCTGCCACAGTCCCAACAGACCCCAAAACCGTTAGAGAGAGAGCCAGCCAGAGGGTGGTTTAAGCTGGGGGTGGTGGGGATCACGCAGCCTCAGGTGAGGGCAGAGGGTGAGACC